ATCGTGCCCATCAGTGCTGCCTATCGTGCCCATCAGTGCTGCCTATCAGTGCCCATCAGTGCCGCCTATCAGTGCCCATCAGTGCTGCCTCATCAACGCACATCAGTGAAGGAGAAAAATTACCTGTTTGAAAAATTTTATAATAGAAACAAAGAAACTTTTTTTTTTTTCAAATTTTTTGCACTTTTTTTATTTATAGCGCAAAAAGTAAAGCGCCCAGAGGCGATTAAATACCACCAAAAGAAAGCTCTATTTGGGAGAAAAAAATGATCAAAATTTCATATGGGTACAATGTTGCATGACCCGCGCAATTGTCAAAGTGCGGCAGCACTGAAAGCTGAAAATTGGCCTGGTAAATAAGGGGGTATTAGTGCCCGGTAGGCAAGTGGTTAATGTGCTTCTTCTTGAGCCACTCCTTTGTTGCCTTGGCCTTGTATTTTGGCCATTGTCATGCTGAACACCCATCACGTTTCAATGCCCTGGCTGAGGGAAGAAGGTTCTCACCCAAGATTTGATGGTACATTGCCCCGTCCATCGTCCCTTTGATGCGGTGCAATTGTCCTGTCCCCTTAGCAGAAAAACCCCCCAAAGCAGAATGTTTCCACCACCATGTTTCACAGTTGGGATGGTGTTCTTGGGGTCATAGGCAGCATTCCACCTACTCCAAACACAGGGAGTTGAGTTGATGCCAAAGAGCTCGATTTTGGTCTCATCTGACCACAACACTTTCCACCAGTCCTCCTCTGCATCATTCAGATGTTCAGTGGCAGACGTCAGATGGGCCTGGACATGTGCTTTCTTGAGCAGAGGGACCTTGCGGGCACTGCAGGATTTCAGTCCTTGTCGGCGTAGTGTGTTACCAATTGTTTTCTTGGTGACTGTGGTCCCAGCTGCCTGGAGATCATTGACAAGATCCTCACGTGTAGTTCTGGGATGATTCCTCACTGTTCTCATGATCATTGACACTCCACGAGGTGAGATCTTGCATGGTGCACCAGACCTAGGGAGACTGACACTTGTTTTGTGTTTCTTCCATTTGTGAATGATTGCACCAACTGTTGTCACCTTCTCACCAAGCTGCTTGGCCATAGTTTGGTAGCCCAGTCCAGCCTTGTGTAGGTCTACAATCTTGTCCCTGACATCCTTGGACAGCTCTTTGGTCTTTGCCATGGTGGAGAGTTTGGAATCTGATGGTTTGATTGCTCCTGTGGACAGGTGTCTTTTATACAGGTAACAACATGAGATTAGCAGCACTCCCTTTAAGAGACTGCTTCTAATCTCAGCTTGTTACCTGTATGAAAGACACCTGGTAGCCAGAAATCCTGCTGAATGATAGGGGATCAAATACTTATTTCCCTCATGAACATGCAGATCAGTCATCATTTGTTAGACATGCATTTCTGCTGAATTTGTTGTTGCTATTCCATCTCTCAGTGTTACAATACACCGAACATTCGATTTGTAGACCGATCATTTCTTTGTGAGTGGGCAAACATTCAAAATCTGCAGGGGATCAAATACGCATTTCCTTCACGATACATACAGTTGTGGCCAAAATTATTCAACCCCCAATGCTGTAAAGGGGTTTAGGGACTATAGTGTACATTTGGAATTGTATTCAGAATCAAATCCTACAAGGACGTTGTAACTACCCAAATGCAACTAAAATGACATCAATTGTTTATGTAATACAGTGTAAATGGTTCTTATGTGGTTTCTTCATTGCCACAATTATTCAACCCCTTAAAGACTACCACTCTGAAGAACAGAGGTTCATACAGGTGCTTTCCATCAGGTATTGAAAACACCTGTGGATGTCACCGAGCAGCAATCAAGCATAATAAGCACCAATTAGGCAGCTTTAAAATGACTGTGATACTCAGCTCCTTCTAGACATTTACTGGTGTGGTTACAAACATGGTGAAGGCAAGAGAATGGTCCAGGAAGACAAGAGAAGAGGTGATTTCTCTTCACAGGAAGGGCAATGGCTATAAGAAGATTGCAAAGATGTTAAACATACCAAGAGACACCTTAGGAAGCATCATTCGCAAATTCAAGGCAAAGGGCACTGTTGAAACGCTACCTGGTCGTGGCAGAAAGAAGATGCTGACTTCGACTGCTGTGCGCTACCTGAAGCGTAGAGTGGAGAGAAGTCCCCGTGTGACTGCTGAGGAACTGAGAAAAGATTTGTCAGATGTGGGTACAGAAGTTTCAGCCCAGACAATAAGACGCACACTGCGTAATGAAGGCCTCCGTGCCAGAACTCCCAGGCGTACCCCCTTGCTGTCTCCAAAGAATAAGAAGAGTCGACTGCAGTATGCCAAAAGCCATGTGGACAAACCACAAAAGTTGTGGGATAGTGTTCTGTGGACTGATGAAACAAAATTAGAACTGTTTGGGCCCATGGATCAACGCTATGTTTGGAGGAGGAAGAACAAGGCCTATGATGAAAAGAACACCTTGCCTACTGTGAAGCATGGTGGAGGGTCAATCATGCTTTGGGGCTGTTTTGCTTCTGCAGGTACAGGGAAGCTTCAGCGTGTGCAAGGTACCATGAATTCTCTTCAGTACCAGGAGATATTGGATGGAAACGTGATGCAGTCCGTCACACACCTGAGGCTTGGGAGACGTTGGACCTTTCAACAGGACAATGATCCCAAGCATACCTCCAAGTCCACTAGAGCATGGTTGCAGAGGAAAGGCTGGAACATTTTGGAGTGGCCATCGCAGTCACCAGACTTAAATCCGATTGAGAACCTCTGGTGGGACTTAAAGAAAGCAGTTGCAGTGCGCAAGCCTAAGAATGTGACTGAACTGGAGGCCTTTGCCCATGAAGAATGGGCGAAGATACCCGTAGATCGCTGCAAGACACTTGTGTCAAGCTATGCTTCACGTTTAAAAGCTGTTATAACTGTAAAAGGATGCTGTACTAAGTACTAAGATTGAATGTCACTTGGGGGTTGAATAAAACTGATAATGCTGTGAGCACAGAAAAGACATTTGTGGTTATTTCATTATAACTGTTATGTTATATTTGTCTGACCTACAAGTGCCTCTTTAATGTAAATGTAAGCAAGATGACTGAATGATCAAAAGGCAATGTCAAACTGGCCAAAACACTCAATTTCAGTGGGGGTTTGAATAATTTGGCCACAACTGTATATATATATATATATATACACACACACGCGATGCGCGCAATTTTGCGCAGTATTTCTGCTATAGGGCAGAGCGGAATCGGTTAAATACCAAACAAGTCTATACTGACCTGCTCTGTAATGGTTTTGCACAGAGCAGCCCCGATCCTCCTCTTTGTGGGTCCGCCCACTGGCGCTCCTGGCCCCTCCCTCCTGCCAAGTGCCCCCAGAACAAGCAGTTTGCTATGGGGGCATCCGAGCCACTGCTCTGTGTGTGTCCATTCACACACAGACACGGCTCGGTCCTGCCCCCTCTCTCTCCTCATTGGCTCTGACGGACAGTAGCAGGAGCCATTGGCTAATGAGGTGGGAGATACCCGGGACAGCCGAGGCTCTCATGCACACCGCTAGATCAAGATGGGGCTCAGGTAAGTATTAGGGGGAGGGCTGCTGCACACTGAAGGTAATAAACGTTGGGCCTTTACAACCAATTGAATCGCTCTCACCTTTTTTCTTGATCTGACACTTGACATCAGGATGATCGATCATCTCACACACAGCGACACAGCTCAGCGCAGGGCCCAGCAAGCTATGAGCCCACCCATGTCCATGGGGGCTATACAGGAGAGCCAGGCTCAGGTCACTGGTCAGGTACGTGCCTTCCCCAAACAGAGAAGTCTGCAGGGAATGGAACATCAGAGACAAAAACTTTACATATATCTTTGGATTAACAATAAATGACATATAAAAGTACAGCAAGTATTAAACATCTAAGTCTGAGCCAATCAGAGTGTTACTGAACCCACAGCAGTCCAATCAGTCTGGAGATGTAGTAAAGCATGCTTGTTATACTCACTGTGGAACCTAAGGGGTTAGTCCTCTGTGTTTGATCCTGACTTCTCTGATCCTACACTGTCCCTAATCCATCTGCTGATAGTACAGAGTTCTAGGAGTCACTCTGTACATGCTCAGTTTAGTATGTATTGTTAGAAAGTTTTTTTTTTTTTCTTTGGGAGAGTGCATGTGATCAGTACAGGAACAATCAGCGCTGTTCAGACAGAGGGTCAGGGGTCATGCAGCCTCATAGGGGAGAATGAAAACTGCAAGCTTTAACCAGTGCTCTGCTGGACACTGATAGAAGTCACAAGACTGCAATATACTGCTGATGAGAAAAGGGATTTAGCAGTTTATATTTACTAAAATAATTGCATTTCCATGTTCTGTGTACTGTGAGAGACCAGATATAGTGAATGCAGGGACCGGGAAGACCGGATATAGTGAATGCGGGGTCCGGGGAGGCCGGAAATCCTGAATGCAGGGTCGGGGAGGCCGGAAATCCTGAATGCAGGGTCCGGGGAGGCCGGAAATCCTGAATGCAGGGTCCGGGGAGGCCGGAAATCCTGAATGCAGGGTCCGGGGAGGCCGGAAATCCTGAATGCAGGGTCCGGGGAGGCCGGAAATCCTGAATGCAGGGTCCGGGAGGCCGGAAATCGTGAATGCAGGGTCCGGGGAGGCCGGAAATCCTGAATGCAGGGTCCGGGGAGGCCGGAAATCCTGAATGCAGGGTCCGGGGAGGCCGGAAATCCTGAATGCAGGGTCCGGGGAGGCCGGAAATCCTGAATGCAGGGTCCGGGGAGGCCGGAAATCGTGAATGCAGGGTTCGGGGAGGCCGGAAATCGTGAATGCAGGGTCCGGGGAGGCCGGAAATCGTGAATGCAGGGTCCGGGGAGGCCGGAAATCGTGAATGCAGGGTCCGGGGAGGCCGGAAATCGTGAATGCAGGGTCCGGGGGGTGAACGGATAATAGTGAATGCAGGGTCCGGGGTGAACGGATATAGTGAATGCAGGGTCCGGGGGTGAACGGATATAGTGAATGCAGGGTCCGGGGTGAACGGATATAGTGAATGCAGGGTCCCGGGGGGTGAACGGATATAGTGAATGCAGGGTCGGGGAGACCGGATATAGTGAATGCAGGGTCCGGGGAGAGCGGATATAGTGAATGCAGGGTCCGGGGAGAGCGGATATAGTGAATGCAGGGTCCGGGGGATATAGTGAATGCGGGGTCGGCGGATATAGTGAATGCAGGGTCCGGGGAGAGCGGATATAGTGAATGCAGGGTCGGGGAGAGCGGATATAGTGAATGCAGGGTCCGGGGAGAGCGGATATAGTGAATGCAGGGTCCGGGGAGAGCGGGAAATAGTGAATGCAGGGTCCGGGAGGAGCGGAAATCGTGAAGGGTCCGGGGGGGAGGCCGGAAATCGTGAATGCAGGGTCCGGGGAGGCGGAAATCGTGAATGCAGGGTCCGGGGAGGCCGGAAATAGTGAATGCAGGGTCCGGGGAGGCCGGAAATAGTGAATGCAGGGTCCGGGGAGGCCGGAAATAGTGAATGCAGGGTCCGGGGAGGCCGGAAATAGTGAATGCAGGGTCCGGGGGAGGCCGGAAAGTGAATGCAGGGTCCGGGGAGGCCGGAAATCCTGAATGCAGGGTCCGGGGAGGCCGGAAATCGTGAATGCAGGGTCCGGGGAGGCCGAAATCGTGAATGCAGGGTCCGGGGAGGCCGGAAATCGTGAATGCAGGGTCCGGGGAGGCCGGAAATCGTGAATGCAGGGTCCGGGGAGGCCGGAAATCGTGAATGCAGGGTCCGGGGAGGCCGGAATATCGTGAATGCAGGGTCCGGGGAGGCCGGAAATCGTGAATGCAGGGTCCGGGGAGGCCGGAAATCGTGAATGCAGGGTCCGGGGAGCAGGGCCGGGGAAATCGTGAATGCAGGGTCCGGGGAGGCCGGAAATCGTGAATGCAGGGTCCGGGGAGGCCGGAAATCGTGAATGCAGGGTCCCGGGGAGGCCGGAAATCGTGAATGCAGGGTCCGGGGAGGCCGGAAATCGTGAATGCAGGGTCCGGGGAGGCCGGAAATCGTGAATGCAGGGTCCGGGGAGGCCGGAAAAATCGTGAATGCAGGGTCCGGGGAGGCCGGAAATCGTGAATGCAGGGTCCGGGGAGGCCGGAAATCGTGAATGCAGGGTCCGGGGAGGCCGGAAATCGTGAATGCAGGGTCCGGGAGGCCGGAAAATCGTGAATGCAGGGTCCGGGGAGAGCGGGAGGAAGGAAATCGTGAATGCAGGGTCCGGGGAGGCGGAAATCGTGAATGCAGGGTCCGGGGAGGCCGGAAATCGTGAATGCAGGGTCCGGGGAGATATAGCCGGAAATCCGTGAATGCAGGGTCCGGGGAGGCCGGAAATCGTGAATGCAGGGTCCGGGAGGCCGGAAATCGTGAATGCAGGGTCCGGGGAGGCCGGAAATCGTGAATGCAGGGTCAGGGGGGGGCCGGAAATCGTGAATGCAGGGTCCGGGGAGGCCGGAAATCGTGAATGCAGGGTCCGGGGGGCCGGATATAGTGAATGCAGGGTCCGGGGTGGGGGAGACGGATATAGTGAATGCAGGGTCGTGAATGCAGGGTCCGGGGGGGAGAGGGTCCGTGATATAGTGAATGCAGGGTCCGGGGAGACGGATAATGGAGAGCCGGGAGAGCGGATATAGTGAATGCAGGGTCCGGGGAGAGCGGATATAGTGAATGCAGGGTCCGGGGGAGAGCGGATATAGTGAATGCAGGGTCCGGGGAGAGCGGATATAGTGAATGCAGGGTCCGGGGAGAGCGGATATAGTGAATGCAGGGTCCGGGGAGAGCGGATATAGTGAATGCAGGGTCCGGGGAGGCGGAATATCGTGAATGCAGGGTCCGGGGAGGTCCGGGAGGGAGCCGGAAATCAGGGTCCGGGAATGCAGGGAATGCAGGGTCCGGGGAGCCGGAAATCGTGAATGCAGGGTCCGGGAGAGCGGGAAATCGTGAATGCAGGGTCCGGGGAGAGCGGGGAGGCCGGAAATCGTGAATGCAGGGTCCGGGGAGGCCGGAAATCGTGAATGCAGGGTCCGTCCGGGGGGAGACCGGAAATCGTGAATGCAGGGTCCGGGGAGGCCGGAAATCGTGAATGCAGGGTCCGGGGGAGGCCGGAAATAGTGAATGCAGGGTCCGGGGAGGCCGGGTGATGCAGGGTCCGGGAGGCCGGAAATAGTGAATGCAGGGTCCGGGGAGAGCGGAATATAGTGAATGCAGGGTCCGGGGAGAGCGGAAATAGTGAATGCAGGGTCCGGGGAGGCCGGATATAGTGAATGCAGGGTCCGGGGAGAGTCCCGGATATAGTGAATGCAGGGTCCGGGGAGGCCGGAAATCGTGAATGCAGGGTCCGGGGAGGGGAGAGCGGGATATAGTGAATGCGTGAAGGGTCCGGGGAGGCCGGATAATCGTGAATGCAGGGTCCCGGGGAGAGCGGAATATAGTGAATGCAGGGTCCGGGGGAGAGCGGATATAGTGAATGCAGGGTCCGGGGAGGCCGGGTGGAGAGCGGATATAGTGAATGCAGGGTCCGGGGGGAGAGCGGATATAGTGAATGCAGGGTCCGGGGAGAGCGGATATAGTGAATGCAGGGTCCGGGGGGAGAGTCCGGGGAGGATATAGTGAATGCAGGGTCCGGGGGGAGTGAATGCGGATATAGTGAATGCAGGGTCCGGGGAGAGCGGATATAGTGAATGCATGGGTCCGGGGAGAGCGGATATAGTGAATGCAGGGTCGGGGGGGAGAGGGTCCGGGGAGAGCGGATATAGTGAATGCAGGGTCCGGGGAGAGCGGATATAGTGAATGCAGGGTCCGGGGAGAGCGGATATAGTGAATGCCGGGTCCGGGGAGAGCGGATATAGTGAATGCAGGGTCCGGGGAGAGCGGATATAGTGAATGCAGGGTCCGGGGAGAGCGGATATAGTGAATGCAGGGTCCGGGGAGGCCGGATATAGTGAATGCAGGGTCCGGGGAGGCGGATATAGTGAATGCAGGGTCCGGGGAGAGCGGATATAGTGAATGCAGGGTCCGGGGAGAGCGGATATAGTGAATGCAGGGTCCCGGGGAATGCAGGGTCCGGGGAGAGCGGATATAGTGAATGCAGGGTCCGGGGAGAGCGGATATAGTGAATGCAGGGTCCGGGGAGAGCGGAATAGTGAATGCAGGGTCCGGGGAGAGCGGAATATAGTGAATGCAGGGTCCAGGGGAGAGCGGATATAGTGAATGCAGGGTCCGGGAGAGACCGGATATAGTGAATGCAGGGTCCGGGGAGACCGGATATAGTGAATGCAGGGTCCGGGGAGAGCGGATATAGTGAATGCAGGGTCCGGGGAGAGCGGATATAGTGAATGCAGGGTCCGGGGAGAGCAGATATAGTGAATGCAGGGTCCGGGGGTCCGGATATAGGAATGCGGGGTCCGGGGAGCAGATATAGTGAATGCAGGGTCCGGGGAGAGCGGATATAGTGAATGCAGGTCCGGGGAGAGCGGATATAGTGAATGCAGGGTCCGGGGAGAGCGGATATAGTGAATGCAGGGTCCGGGGAGAGCGGATATAGTGAATGCAGGGTCCGGGGAGAGCGGATATAGTGAATGCAGGGTCCTGGGGAGAGGGGAGAGCGGATATAGTGAATGCAGGGTCCGGGGAGAGCGGATATAGTGAATGCAGGGTCCGGGGAGAGCGGATATAGTGAATGCAGGGTCCGGGGAGAGCGGATATAGTGAATGCAGGGTCCGGGGAGAGCGGATATAGTGAATGCAGGGGTCCGGGGAGAGCGGATATAGTGAATGCAGGGTCCGGGGAGAGCGGATATAGTGAATGCAGGGTCCGGGGAGAGCGGATATAGTGAATGCAGGGTCCGGGGAGAGCGGATATAGTGAATGCAGGGGTCCGGGGAGAGCGGAGATATAGTGAATGCAGGGTCCGGGGAGAGCGGATATAGTGAATGCAGGGTCCGGGGAGAGCGGATATAGTGAATGCAGGGTCCGGGGGAGAGCGGATATAGTGAATGCAGGGTCCGGGGAGAGCGGATATAGTGAATGCAGGGTCCGGGGGGGGAGAGCGGATATAGTGAATGCAGGGTCCGGGAGAGAGCGGATATAGTGAATGCAGGGTCCGGGGAGAGAGATATAGTGAATGCAGGGTCCGGGGAGAGCGGATATAGTGAATGCAGGGTCCGGGGAGAGCGGATATAGTGATTGCAGGGTCGGGGGAGAGCGGATATAGTGAATGCAGGGTCCGGGGAGAGCGGGATATAGTGAATGCAGGGGGGTCCGGGTGAAGACCGGGGAGATATAGTGAATGCGGTGTCCGGGGAGACCAGATATAGTGAATGCGGGGTCCGGGGAGAGCGGATATAGTGAATGCGGGGTCCGGGGAGAGCGGATATAGTGAATTGCGGGGTCCGGGGAGAGCGGATATAGTGAATGCGGGGTCGGGGAGAGCGGATATAGTGAATGCGGGGTCCGGGGAGTGCGGATATAGTGAATGCGGGGTCCGGGGAGACCGGATATAGTGACAAAATAAAAGGAATGACAGAATGGAATGCCCATAGACAGTAATGGAGTCAGAACCATCAGACAGATCACATAGATCCACACTCTGTCCATGTTCAGTGATGATGTTAAGCATTGTGATGAAGGAGGATTATTATTGTTTTCTATGGAATGACACAAGTGAATGACACAAAGGAATGTCCATAGAATTGGAAAGCAAAAAGTAAAAGTATTTGCAGACAAATCTAAGAAACATAACAATGTCACCTTTCCTACAGGATTTCTCCAAGTAGAGTAACAAATTGTAAGGCTACTTTCACACTGATCCGCCGCAAAAACGTATTTACCGCGCTAAGTGTTTTTTAAAGGACACGTGACTTTAAAAAACTGCACCAAAAATGCTTCTCGGAGGCTTTTTTGAGGCGCTTTTCAGGTGATTTCTATTGATTTCAATGGGAAGAGGTGTTTTTGGGGCTATTTTTAACTCTCCAAACATGCCTTAAAGATGCTGCAAGCAGGAGTTTCCACACCGCACCGCAAGTGCAACGCCTCGGTGTAAAAACATACATAGGTATACATTGGGAAGCATTTTTCTTGAGCTTTTCAGGCGCTTTTTTTTTTTTAAACTATTCTCTATGGGCATCTTCTTTTGTTCCATTATTCTCTATGCCCATAGAGCAAAGAGAGATGCCCATAGAGAATAATGGAGCAAAGAGAGATGCCCATAGAGAATAATGGAGCAAAGAGAGATGCCCATAGAGAATAATGGAGCAAAGAGAGATGCCCATAGAGAAAAATGGACCAGAGGATGATGTCCATAGAGAATAATGGAACAGAAGGGAATGCCCAGAGGGTATAATGGGAAGTAAAATGTGACTCGATCAGAACCATCAGACGTATCAAATAAATCCTTAGCAGACATACTCTGCAAGAAAACAATATTAATCCACACGTAACCTGAATTTTAAACATCACCACTGAGCTTGCAGAGTATGTCGGCTAAGGATTTATTTGATACGTCTGATGGTTTGGATGTCAAGTTACAATCTGCTTGTCATTTGTTTGCCAGTGTCAAAAATAACTGTCATTTTTTTGCCAGTGTCAAAAATAACTGTCATTTTTTTGCCAGTGTCAAAAATAACTGTCATTTTTTTGCCAGTGTCAAAAATAACTGTCATTTTTTTGCCACTGTCAAAAATAACTGTCATTTTTAGCCTGTGTCAAAAATAACTGTCATTTGTTGACTGTGTCAAAAATAACTGTCATTTGTTGACTGTGTCAAAAATAACTGTCATTTGTTGACTGTGTCAAAAATAACTGTCATTTGTTGACTGTGTCAAAAATAACTGTCATTTGTTGCCTGTGTCAAAAATAACTGTCATTTGTTGCCTGTGTCAAAAATAACTGTCATTTGTTGCCTGTGTCAAAAATAACTGTCATTTGTTGCCTGTGTCAAAAATAACTGTCATTTTGTTGCCTGTGTCAAAAATAACTGTCATTTTTTGCCTGTGTCAAAAATAACTGTCATTTTTTGCCTGTGTCAAAAATAACTGTCATTTTTTGCCTGTGTCAAAAATAACTGTCATTTTTTGCCTGTGTCAAAAATAACTGTCATTTTTTGCCTGTGTCAAAAATAACTGTCATTTTTTGCCTGTGTCAAAAATAACTGTCATTTTTTTGCCACTGTCAAAAATAACTGTCATTTTTTTGAACTGTCATTTTTAGCCTGTGTCAAAAATAACTGTCATTTTTTGCCTGTGTCAAAAATAACTGTCATTTTTTGCCTGTGTCAAAAATAACTGTCATTTTTTGCCTGTGTCAAAAATAACTGTCATTTTTGAACTGTCATTTTTTTGCCACTGTCAAAAATAACTGTCATTTTTTGGCACTGTCGTTTTTTGCCTCTGTCAAAAATAACTGTAATTTTTCAACTGCCATTTTTTGGCCACTGTCAAAAATAACTGTCATTTTATAACGATTACTTTTCATGTCATTTTATGCCACTGTCAAAAATTAACTGTCATTTTCTGTCATTTTTTTGCCTGATCAGGAAGGAGGGGTACATCCTCTGGAGGGCAAGTGGTTAAAGGGATTCTAAAGGTTAATTTTTATTTTATAAAATATTAAACATGTCTATACTTACCTGCTGTGTGCGGTGGTTTTGCACAGAGCAGCCCAGATCCTCCTCTTCTCGGGTCCCCCGCAGGCGCTCCTGGCCCCTCCCACCTGTCGGGTGCCCCGGCAGCAAGCAGCTTGCTATGGGGGCATCCGCTGCTCCGCGTGTCCATTCAAACACGGAGCCGCGGCTTGGCTCCCCCCCCCCCCCATT